CAGAGTCGCAGCAGGTATTAAACCAGAGGATGCAAGCAGAGCCCTTGGCTTGGGGAGTAAGAGTGGTCTCATCACTGCACAGTAACTGTTGGCCATTTCAGTGTGTTTTTGTGTCAGACTTTCACCAAATACAGAAAGAGTTAAAAATAGTATCATCCTTCACATACTGTTCTGTAACATGCTTTTAGCACTTAAATATATATTAAGGACAATTTTCCATGTCATCATATAGTTTTCTGTGATATAATTTAAAAGCATATGCAGTTCATTCTGGTAGGTGGGCTAATACTTTGTTTTAACTAATTCCTATCATAGACGTCGCATAAGCTGTTGCTTGCTATTTTATTATAAAAAGCACTGTTTTGAACTTCCTTGCGGCACTAATTTTACAACCATCCATTGTTTCCCTTGGGAAATTCCATTTCTACCAATGCAATTTCAGCTGAGCTGTGAATGATGCCTTTCACATGCCTGCAAGTAGAAGAAGGAGAGGATTTGGGGCAGTGCCAAACAATGGTACCCAAAAAGATACAGGGACTGGTATGATGTTGCTCTCAAAACTCAGGCAAGACTCTTCAGCAGCTTCAGGCTGTATCCATTTGGATGTGGTTCAGACTGTGTGATGATGAAATGCAGGGAAGTAGGAGCTCAGCCCAATCTGCTGCCTGCCCCCCGCCACCCCATGTGATGCGGCTGGTAGAGGATCTAGACAGACTGAGGCTGCTCAGGAACATAAAATGCAAGGCAAATTCATGCCCTCATCTGAAGGTACAGGGAAAACCAGTGTCTCCTATACTCCCATTCGACAATCAACACAGAAGACTTCTGTGGCTGAATATTGGGGTTTTCCCCCACCTTCCAAGCCAGGAAGCAGTTCTGCAGTGGGCATCACTTGGGTGTCCTCCAATTCAGTTCAGTTCTATTGTCCGTCTGGAGACAGCATCCCATTCCACAAGTTGAGGGCTCCATCCCCCGACCATCCCCCGATCACCTCCCCTTCAGCTAGCAGGCGTAGGGCCCAGGTTTTCTCACTTGAGTTTCTGGCTGATCATCTATAAGTCAGGGTTCCCACACCCCCAGCTCAGGTTTGATTAATATGCCAGCATGGCTCACAGAACTCAGAGAAACATCTACTTCCATTTACTGATTTATTATTAAGGATATTACCGATGAAAATGATAACAAACATCAGTGAAGAGATGGTAACTCAAATTGGCTTTTAACACCCATTGTGAGATAGGAAGAGGGCAGAAACTTAATTTGACTGTGGTGTTTAAAGCTGGGGCCTTTGGGAAGTGATTGGGATTAGGTAAAGCCCTAGTGGAGTCCCATGATTGAATCCTGTGGTTTTTTTCAAGAAAAGGGAAAGAGACCAGCATACATACAAACACACAACACAACAAATTTTCACACACACACAAACACACACACACACACACGACATGCTGTTTGAGTTTCCAGCTCCCAAAACTATGAGCTAAATTAGTCTCTTTCCTTCATAAAACACCCAGCCTCAGGTATTTTTTATGGTAACAGAAAATAGACCATCTTAGATGGACAGGGCAAGGTGTTGGGGATGATTGGAGCTTCCGTGCCCTCTGGGTGATCCAGCTTCCAGGAAGCTTTGTGTGTTCTGCTATCCAAAAGTTGTCCAAGTCTGGTCCTTTGGGATTTCATGGAGGCTTCCTTACATAGGCATGGTTGGTTACATCACTGGCCATTGGTGATCACTGTAACCTTCAGCCTCTGTCCTCTCCCTGGAGGTTGGGAACAAGGCTGAAAGTCCCAGCCCTCTAATCTTGCCTAGTTTCTTCAGGTGACCAGTCCCCGCCCTGAAGCCACCTGTGGCTGCCAGGCATGTCACCTTTTATCACACCAAAGACATCACTATGGAGATTCTGAAGATTTTAGGATGTGTGCAGGAAACAGCATCGAAGTAGGAAAAGAAACAGCCTCTGCAGAGCAAATTTGGGTCAAGTAAAAGTAGGAAAAGAAGTACATTCTATATAGCGTGAGAGTGGGCGAGCACATAAGGGAGAACACAGTGGACACGAATGTATATTTTGCCTTATCATAATACATATATAATTAAAAATTTTCTGGTAGCAAATAATATTCTTTAAATAAGTCAACATATCCAAAACATTGTGACCTTAACATGTAATGGGATTTAGCTCAGTGGTTTTGTCACCTGCTGCGCAAGTGCAAGGACCCGAGTTCGATCCCTGGTACCCCCCCCAAATATATAAACACATTGTTTTATTTTATTGATATCGGAAATCAAACTCAGGACCTTGTGCTTGCAAGGCAGGTGCTGGAACCACTGAGCTAAATCCCTGGCCCTTATAAACACATTATTTATTTATTTATTTTTTGGTACCAGGAATCAAACTCAGGTCCTTCCGCTTGCAAGGCAGGCAGCGGAACCACTGAGCTAAATCCCTGCCCCAATATAAACACGTTATTAATGAGGCATTTCATTCTTTTTTCTCCAAGTACTAAGTATTTTAAATAATCTATATACAAGGCTAGGAGAATAGCTCAGTGGTAGAGTGACTCCCTCGAATGCACAAGGCTCTTGGTTCAATCCTCAGTACCATAAAAAAAGAAAAAACAGAAATAAAAAACTACATGGAACTATATGTATTTATGTAGTACAGTGTGATAATGTGATACATGTATACAATGTGGAATGACCAAATAGGGTGATTAGCATTTTCATCTCCTTAAACATTTATCATTTCCTTGTGTTGGGAAACTTTGAACTCTTCTTTTCCAGTTCTTTATTAAATATATAATAAATTGTGAACTCCTGTCACCCTACTATGCTATAGAACATTACCCCTTATTCCTTAGGTAACTGCATTTTGGTACCCATTCTCCAAATTCCTTCTGTGACTACTCTTGTACTAAGTTCTAAATCTTTGAAATCTGATGTGTGTTTCATTCTTCCAGGACATCCTGATGCAGATGCTAAATTTTCAAAGGTTAAAATGAAGGGCTGGGGATTTAGCTCAGTGGTTCCAGTGCCTGCCTTGCAAGCGCAACATCCTGAGTTCGATCTTCGGTACCAAAAAAAATAAAGGAATGTAGTTCTACCAAAACAATAACTTGTGTTTTGTGGGAAAATATTTCATACTGCTTTAGTGTTTTACTTTTAAAAAAAAATTTTATTTTATTGGTACATTTTGGTATACAATATAATGACATTCATCATTGGAAATTTGCACCTTTACATAATCTCTCTTGGTTCTTATTTTTCCCCCTTCCCCTGCCCTCCCTTCAACCCCTCCATCCTTCACTATTTACAGACTTTGTTTCCATTTTTTCATTTTTTCATATTAATTCCACTCCCCTCTTTCCTTTCCCCTATCCTTCCCACTTCCCCTTTGCCCCTTTTCTTCCTATTTCACATTATCTATTAAACCGTTTAGTCCTTATTTACACTTTCAGTTTCTCACACTAGAGAAATGATTTGGTATTTACACATGTGTGTCCTATTTATTTCACTTAGGAGTATTGCCTCAATGTGCATCCATTTAGCTATGAATGTCTCTAATTTCTTGTTTTTTATGGCTGAGTAGTACTCCATTTTATAAGAAACCCCACATTTTCTTTGTCCAGTCTCCAGTTGATGGCCATTTGGGCTGTTTCCAAGTTTTAGCTATTACAAACTGTGCTGCTATGAACATGGGTGCATATATATCACTGTGGTATGATTCTTTTAATTCTTTGGGGAAGATACCCAGCAGAGGAATAGCTGGGTCAAATGGGACTTCCAGTCCTAGTTCTTTGAGGTATCTCCATACTGATTTCCACAGTGGTTACACCAGTCTACACTCCATACCAGTGTTTTACTTTTTAAAATAATTAAAATTCCATATAATAAAATTATGTTTCAGCCATGTATAGTGGCACATGCTTGTAATCCAATCTATTTGGAGGCTGAGGCAGGAGAATTGTAAGTTTGAGGCCAGGCTGGGCAATTTAGTGAGACCCTGTCTTAAAAAGAAGGCTGGGGTTGTGGCTTAGTGCTCACCTAGTGTGTGTGAATTCCCAGTGCTGTCCCGCTTGCCCCCATGCAGCAAATGGCTACCACGTTGGATAGCACAGGCCTGTGCCCTTGCCACTGAAAGTGTAGTTCCTGGACAAATAGCATCTGTATCCCCCAAGAGCTGATGAGGGCTGCAGAATCACAGGCCCTGCCTAATTCTCCTGAGTCAAAATTCATATGTCAGCTGATTCCCCACATGATCCCTGTGCTGGCTTCAGCTTGAGAAGCCTTGGTCTAGATTTCAGGCCATGATTTGGGGGACTGTCTAAAGAGAATGAGTATTTTGCCTAAAAAAAGAAGCCTCCAGAAAGCTATGATAGTTTCCTTCAAATGTTTCAAGGCTTGTTGTATGCAGTCCAGAATGGAAGGGCTAAGGCCACAGAGGAAGTGGGCTAGGGGCGAGAAGGAGGGGACTGAACCTTATAAAAGCTCTTGTGTTATGATCTCACTTCATCCTGGTAATAAAAGGCTTAGACTTGGAAGTAAATCAGCTAATCTGATTTTAAATCCCAGATCTGCTTGCTAATCACTGTGCATCCTGAGGCAAGAATTACTTTACATCTCTGAGCCTCAGTTTATTATCTATAGAATGGAAAAGTAATAACTCACTGCCCAGGGTTTATGTAACAATGATATAGGCAAGGACCATTTCACCCTACTCTTTTCTTAATTGGTTATACAGATTAACAGGTTTCATTTTGGCAGAGTCGCACATGCACAGACCATAGCAAGGACCGTATTTGCCGAGGTATCTCTGGCCTGGGCACAGATTCTGGCCTCTGTCACTACTTTTTGTAGACTGGACAAGACTGGCTGGGGAAGGATGGTTATTAGTGCTTTTAGCAGGCTTGTGGTTTGAGGTGACAAGGTACATTTTTCAGTCCACACAAACGAACCCAGCCCCTGTGCTCCGACATCCCACTGAAAGCTCATTTTTTATTTACAGCTTCAAATTGATCTGGATCGATCTATCCTCAGACCTTTTCATCAGGAGAGCAAAAAAGAGAAGCAGGGAGGGGAGGCCGGAGCTCCTCCACACTCCCTCCGTCAGTGGATGGAGCCGGAGCTCTGGTCACCTTCCTGCTACTGGGACAAGGTATCACCAAAGCAGAGTCCTGGGTCACTCGGGAAGGGGGCAGGTAAGCGGGTCCAGAGAAATTCGCATTTCCCTGCAAAAGACTCCATCACTGGCTCACCAAGCCACATCTGTGCTTCTGTCAAGTAAACAAAGAATTTCTACTGCTCTCAGGCAGGCACTAACATTAGCCGAGTAAGGGCTCTTTGGGGACCAAAGAAAGGAGGTTCGTATTTGAAAATGAACCACTGTACGTGGATTTATAGCACTGCTTTTCCGACAGAGAGGAGGAAATATATTTCTCTGGGAGATTAGAATTTACTAGTGGATTCAAGTGTAACTTTGGAGAGTGGCGGAGGTATTAGATGTGGCAGTATCATGGTATTGTTTTATTGGCAATTAGATTTCAAACTGGCACGAATGTATGAAAATAAGTCTCAATTATGGGCCCGTGAAGTTTCTCCACCATCTGTCAACAGTTTGCTCCTTATGCCACAGCATGTGTACCTTTGGAGGGAAAATGATTTAATAGCCCAAGTGAAGAGGTATGGCTCACCAAATTGTACTGGAGTTTATAGCTGATGCCTGCCTTTATGATTTCTGATGCAGGGAAAGCAAATTTAAACTTGAGCGTGCATGTGTGGGCACACACACATGTGCCCATGCACACACACATTTCTTCCAGAGACTCAAACTATCAGAAATGCAATATAACTTCAAAAGAAGTGAGCCGAACTTTCCCAGTTCACAGTTATAGAAAAGCAAGTCCAGGGGGGAGCCAGGGACTTGTACAAGTGACACGAGAAAATGGCCAGAGCTGGAACTACAGCCAGTAGGACACTTTGGGTAAGAGCTTGAGGTGTGCTGGCAAATGTGTAACAACCAGTTCTCTGGGCAAACAAAGACCTGGTTTGCAGTCCTTGCCTATGTCCATGGTGTAAACACTCACACAGTGGCTGATTTCATGCTGCCAATGTGATGTTCCTGAATGCAGATTGTATTAGTTAGCTTTCTTGTTGCTGGACATAATGCCTTACACCCACAGCTTAAAGGAAGAGAGGTTTAATTTGGCTCACAGTTCAGTCCACAGTAGGCTGACTCTAAGGGAGAAATGGCACAGAGGAAGAAAGTTGCTCACTTCATGGCAACCAGGAATCACAGAGAGAAGGAAGGAGCCAGGGACAAGAATACAGTCTCCCAGGTTATATACCAAATGATCTGCTTTGTCTGACTAGGCTCTACCCCCAAGCACATGAGACTTCTAGATCTAAACTATAACAGTCCATCTTTTGCCCCCAAATGTTTAGCATTTGCAAAATGCTTTTAGTTCATCTCTAAGAATTGCCATAGTCTTAAGAGTTCCAGCACTGTTCAACAGTCTAAATCCAAAGTATCTTCTGAGACTTAAGGCAAAGTCTTAGCTGTGTGAGCCCTGTAAAAATGAAAAAGAAAGTTAAATAATCCTAGCATACAATGGCACAGGGTAAACATTCCCATTTGAAAAGGGTGGAATAAGAGGATACAAAGGAGTAGGACAAAAGCAAGATCAAAACTCAGCAGGGCAGACATTAAGTCCTGTAGCTCTGTGTCCATCATCTGGGGCAAGTTGAGGTGAGATGTGAACTCCAAGGGGCTTGGGAAGCTCTGACCAATGGCCTTGCCATTTGTAGCCCACATGGCCTCTCTCTTGGGCTGGCTCTGCTCATGGCCTGTGACTTTCCTCAGTAGATGTTCCAAGTTCCCAACATTTCCAACTTCCTGAGGTCTTCATCTCACCTTTAGGCTCACTTTCACAGCTTCTCCTATTGTCATCTTACTGGTTCCTTGAACTGGCTGTGACTCTGTCACATATTTTTGCCTGGTCTTCCAGGCCTTCTGAAATCTGGATGGATGCACCCATAACCCCTAGCCCTTGCATTTGGCATGCCTGGAAAACCAGCACCACATGGATGATGCCAAGATCTGCTATGTGTGAGCAGTAGCCTGGCCCTCTTTTACTATGGCTACAGTGACCTCTGAGTGCCTGGATAGCTGAACCCAGGAAAATACTTTCCTAGGTGGGCTTGAATGAACTGGAGACTTTGTGGCTCTCTTCTCAAACAAAGTCTTTCAAATGCGTTTACTCTTTTACGTACTTGAGCTTTGATGGGTAGGTTCTAGTCATTTCTTGAGATACACTGAAGGTATCTTTCCTACAGTTCTATTGGAAAGTTCTTGGCTTCTTTTTTTTTTTGGTACCGGGGATCAAACTCTGGTCCTTGCGCTTGGGCAGCAAGGGACAAAACCACTGAGCTAAATCCCCGGCCCACTTGGCTTCTTTTTAATGTTAATCCTTTCAGCAACCATACTCTCCTTGGCTCCAACTTTACATACCCTTTCTTTTTCTTTCTTTTTTTTTTGGTACCAGGAATCGAACTAGGGACCTTGCACATGCGAGGCAGGCAGCAGAACCACTGAGCTAAATCCCCTCACATACCCATAAATACCCTTCCTTTCTATCTAAGCTGCAATTTTTCAAATCATTCAGCTCTCCTTTTTGCTATTGATTCTCAATATAAATCAATAAACACAGCCAGCAGTACCCATGCTACTGAATGAATGCTGGGCTGTCTTGAAATTTCTTCCCCCAGATCAGTTACTCTACCATATTTAAATTCAGCCTCACACAGTCTTAGGACATGGATAAAACATGTTCACTTCTTTGCCAGAAATGAACACACATAACAAAGTCCAGTTATCGACATGTAACTGTAGTCCAGTTTCCAATATAATCCTCATTTTCATCAGAACTTCAAAGGCTGGGCTTTACTATTCAAATTCCTACCAGCATCCTCATTTTTGGAGCTCTGACCAGAAGGGCCCATCAAGTTCTCTTACAGCATTTTAGAATTTCTGTGGTCTGCATCTCCAAATCTTTTCAAACTCCTCTTCAAATTAATTCCAAAAGCTTCTGAATCACAGTCAAGGTACAACCAACAGTCACAGCAACAACTCCACTTCTTTTGTACCAGTTTTTGTATTAGTTAGCTTTTCCATCACTGGACACAATACCTAGCATCCACAATTTAAAGGAGGAGAAATTTAATTTGGTTTACAATTCTACCCACAGTTGGCTGGCTCCAAGGCAGAGACAGCATGGTGGAGGAAAGCTGCATAGTGGATGGAAGTCAAGAAAAAGGTGGAAGCAAGGACAAGAATATATTGAATCACACTTCCACTGACCTACTCCCTCTGACCAGGCCCTATTTCCAAGCACATGAAACTTTGGAGGGATAATTAATTAATTAATTATTAATCGTTAATATTTATTATATTTTACTTAAAGATTTTTAACATAAAAAGAAGACACACAAATCTAGATTACATTATGATGACCAAGGCAGTATTCTATGCAAAAAAAAAGAATCAAAACAAAACAAATTTATAAAGTAAATGTACTAGTACTGAACAAGTATAGTAATTGATATTTAATCCAGGCTGCATATGTATAAGTGATTTGACCATAAGCTTATGCAAAATAAATTATTTCCTAGGACAAAATAAATTATTTCCTAGATGCTAACCATTCTGACTGTAAACTACCTTATTCCACTAGTGAGTATTTTGAGAGGACTTCTATAGAATATAAAAATAAATGATATGCAAAAAATAGAACACAGTTAAAAACATATTTGTAATGCAATTCTGCATAAAATATACACAGTAAATCTTACTACTTAAAAAATTAAAAAATACAAGACCACCCTGAATAAGGTTTAAAACCTCATCATAGAAAAATGCTTGTCATTTGTATATCATTGGTAGAAAACTGGTAAGATTTTGTTGATAAAACTGATTTTGTTGATAAAACTGATAAGATTTTGTTGAGGGGAACAGGGTACATACCTAATGAAGTCATTCATTTGAAATCTGTCCAAAAATGTTCGTGAGGTCGTAACTGGCTGCTTATACTATCTTAAAATATTTTTACCATGAATATAGTTTCTATTGTTTCTCAAAATGAGATCCAAAGGCCCAAAGGATTTCTAATGTGGGCCCAGTAATATACATTATAAATAAACTCCTTATGTGGTTATTCTATGTACTGAAATGCCCTATGGGAAAGAGCAACACTCAAAGATCATGAATGTAAACATATTTTGGACATGTCAGAACTCAAATAAATTTATACTGTGAATACTGATTTTTGTTTTAAAACAAGTTCCAGCCATTAAAATAAACACAAATACCTTTCAAATAAACATGTGTATGTATATAAACATTTTCTTTTGAGGTTTTCATTACTTTCAAACTTAGGTATTTGGAGAAAAGACAACCTATGACTACGAGCTTCAGAAAAGTTACATTTCTAATGAAATGGAGCATCCAAAAAAAGGTGAAAAGGTACTTTATTAAATGCCTAAAAATTTTAAATCATTCTAAATTTAAAACTGGGAAGTGCCCCTAAAATTAAATTTTACTGAGATTGTGCCATTTTAACTTAGATGATCACAATTACTTTTCAAGTCTTTTGCATAAAAATGGTGCTAAAATAAACAGAAGAATGCTATATCTGACACCTATTTATATTGCTAACAACTAATTTTAATAAAAATAGTCTGAAGAACTCTGCTCCTAAAATGAATTCCACTGTCTATTTCATGTGTTATTGTACTAAAGAGAAAACTTAATTAAGGAGATAGAATAATAATATATGTGTTTTCTGTAGATTTATTCAAAATTGTTATTAGTTTTTGGATTTCCCTGAAGACTACATACACTGGGGCTTAAAAGTACAGATAATGTGGTTTGGAGACAAACAAGCATACTTAAGACAATTCTACTTAAAAGACAAATTATTTTTCTGCAGAGTAAATAACAAGAAAAAATATTATACATTCTGTTTCCACTTAATAAGTGGAAGAATGTGTTTACAGGTTTGGTTAATAAGTGAGTGCCTCCTCATTATTTAAGTCAAATTACAAAAAGCAACTCTACCTACTAAAAAACCTCAATACCCTCTATTATAGACTATAAGAATCAAGTATTACATCTAAAATAACTTCAAAAAAAGACAATTATGAAATGGTTAATTCTATCCAGGCTGGTTACAAGTTTTTCCATGTATTAAATGGCAACATAAGCAGAATATATAGTTGAAAAATGAGGATCAGACACACTCTTCTTCATACATTGAAAGATGATTGATATACTCAAAAACCTGCAAATTCATACCGATCAGTGTTCATCACAATGTCATTATCATGTAGGGTGAGCTGCCCAGGTTCATTAGTAAACTGAGGATCAAAGTTGTCCAAACCAAATTCCCCAGAAATATTTGGTTTAAAGGGAGGAACCACCTGATTTTGCTCCATCATGTCCATTTGAAAGAATGGCTGCTCCTGAACACTAGCAAGTCCACTTTGAGGATGATAGCCCAATGATTCCTTTGGGTCCCTGATCAGAAAATTCTCCAGGACACTTGCAGCTTTTACAGTCAGAGAGTGCGGTATGTGAATTTTTCTTTTCATAATAACTTGCAAGAGATAATTGACTGAGTTTCAAAGGTTATCAAAGCTCTCAACAAGATGAAGTGGAGACTCTCTGATCATCATCTCAAATATTAGTACTTCAAGAGTCCACCAGTCCACATGGAAACCATAATATTCTCCTCTTACAATTTCTGGAGCAAGGTAATTAGAAAGCACTGGTTGTATCTCCTGGCTGTAATCCTTCCTTATACACCCATTAGTCAGTGAGCTTAATGGGCCCTTCTGAGTCCAGTAATAAATTGTCCAATTTCAAGTTTCTATAAAGTATCCTTCTCTCATGAAGATAATGAATGCTGAACTGATTTTGCAGAGTAAAACCTGGCATGTTCTTCAGGAAGCATTCTTTGTTGCTGCTTATGAAACAGTAGGTCTCCTCCATTTACTTAGTCTAGAATGAGGAACAGTCTGCTTTCTGTCTGGAAGCAAGAATGCAGTCCTAGAAGAAAAGAACAATTAGATGCCTTTTCCAAAACATGCCTCTCTGTCTGTACCCGATTAGTGTTGACAAGCTCTTTTTTCATAACTTTTATTGCATAAATATGATCTGTTTTTTTAAAAAAATTGAACCAATGGTACTTTTACATAACTTCCTCTCCATATTACCTGGAGCAAATCAAAGTCCTGAAGACCTAAACTGGATGAAACTTTGCCATTTTCCCTGGTGTTCACTGCCTCATTCTCTTCATCAGCTTGTTCCAAACCCTCATGACTTGAAGGATTATATGGAATTACTACTGTCTGTGCAGGGTCTGAAGACATGGATGGTTGATCCCTTGGCATCATAGGTTCCGGTGGTAAAGAATGCCATCCACATTCAACTGTAACAAGTTTGTGGCAGTTCTTATGGGTCAAGAGTTTGCAGCTGATGCACTTATATATCTGGTGTCCAAATCCCCTATACAGTCTGTGCAGATGGCACAATGAGCATGCCTACTGAAACATTTGAAAAGTATGGCCATTTGCACAATAAAACTTTCTCCAGAGGCCTGTACCTCTGTGGCAGATGGGTTTATCTTCTGGAGAAGGCATTTTAGGATGTTCTTGGACACAGTGTGATGTATAAATTAAGAGTTCAGAATCCTCAATTAGCTCAGAAAGCCTAAAGTCTTCTTTTAAGTCCAACTGCGGCGATACAGTATTTGAGTCTCCTTCCTCATCTACCAATTCCATGGTGAAAAGCTGTCCATTGTCAAAAGAACACATGACTCACACTTCATTGCAAAGGCCCTCAAAGGAGATGGAAGTCTCAAAACACATTGTCGTGATATTTCTTCTCATAATCAGGGCCTGTCAGGTAGAGGTGTGGGTCATGGAGGTGCTCAGGAAGAAGGGAGCACAGAAGGGTCAGCTGCCCAGGAAAACTGGCAGGAAGGGCTCCGTGAGCAAGTGCGGCCTGACTGCCTGCACCGACCACATTGGCCAGACTTCTGCAAGACTCCCTACAAAGTTATTTCCAATAGCTGTGGCCAGGCCTGGGTGGATGTACACTCGGCTTCTCAATGTCTCTCAGGGGTTGGTGGCCCTGGACTTCTTTGACCCTTTACGTTTTTTGTGCTGGGCTCTGGGGAGACCTGCCCAGGGCTACTGGTTATTTCTGGGCCTGGTGAAACTTTCCGTGGGCTCTTTCCAGATTCTGTGCCATTGGTATTTGGGCTGAGAGAGACTTTGCATGTATACCTTGCTTTTTCTAGGTCAGTGGTGGTCAGTCTTGGGGAGATTTCCCTTGGTGACAGTTGAGTGGCTGCTGCAGTGTGGCCTTCAGTGCCCAGATGGAGTCAACTGGCTTCACAATCTTTCACAGATAGTTTCTGTGCCTGGGGTCGTGAGGCTTCAGCCTCATGAAGTGGGGAAGCAGCTTAGCCTGTTCCCTCTTGATCGTCTCTCGCCAAGTGAGCTTGGGAGATGGCTGGTACTGGGTTGTGGTGCCCATTAACAAGGGTCCCAGGGTTCTGTTTGGGCATGTTGCCAAGGAAGTGAGGTCATATCTTGGGGTTCTACCACCTGAGTCCTCTGTCTTACAGAAGGACCTATGACCCATCTTTCCCTTCATACTAAATAAATCAGTGGCCACTTACTTATTTTTATCCAAGTATCTTTCTACATATCTTTTCATCTAATCTATCATCTATCTAACTACTGTATTAGTTTTTTACTTTTGCAGTACTAGATCTTGAACCCTGCACCTGCACCTTGAACTATATGCTCTGACATTTTTTTCAGATACCCACCAAGTGTCTCACTAAGTCACTTAATTTGTCCCCTTGGACTCCACCTTGTGATCTCCTTGCCTCCGTCACCCAGCAGTCTGGGATTACACTCAAGCACCATCTTGCCTGATTAAGTGTGTGATTTAGAAACAGCAAAAGAAAAACTAGGAAAGCTTTCTGTGATACTCGGCATGGGCGACATTTTCACTTTTAAAGCAACATATGTGCATTGACACTGCACGTGGCGGGCACAGTGCTAAGGGATCTTTTCCATACAAAGGAGCCATTTTTCTCTGCAGATGCCATGGTGGGTATTTATATTTGGAGAACTGTGAAATCTTAGGATATTTTTCTTTCTGGATTGATTATGTCATCATTTTTGGTTAAATAGGAAGTACTGAGACATTGCAGAAATTTCTAGAATAATTTTGCTTGGGAGACAGAAATGTTGGTTTCAAACTGTAACCTCTGGGCTGGTGGTGGTGGTGGCTCCAGGACAGGTTGCAGCTTTGAGGTGCACACAAATTATTCATTCTTAACTAATGAACTTAATACCAACGTGTGGTATTCAGTATTGTGACAGAATGAGGCAGGGCAGCATGTGGTTACTGCATGGGAGATAGTCTTTGTAGACCCTAAAAACCATGGCCCCAGTGATGATGATGAACACTTACAGCACTTTGAATCTTTGCTTGTGGCCACTTGTAGTCATCTCTTGTCCTCCCATCCCAAGCAGCCCATGTACTCTGTGTCCTGGGTGGATAGTGTGAGAAAGCTGTGACCTTTTAGCATGTAGGAAATTGTTTTTTGCAGAGACTATTCAATCAGTATAACCCTGTTGTGTTTCATGTGTGTTGTTGCTTCTCAGTGGTTGAGGCATCACTTGCCATTGCTTGGATGAACCATGAATTTTTCATGTGCCCATCTGCTGATGGCAATTTTTGTTGTTTCCAGTTTTGACTCCACCATATTAGGCTTTCCTTGGGTCCTGGTGAGGGTGGTCTCCAGCCCCCTGACTCTGTGGATGTGCTGTGCCATCCCTCTGAGGAGCATCTCCCCACCCACCCCTTCCATGTGGAAGGCCATGGTGTGGGGGACATCACAGAGGACCCGGCATTTGGCGCCTGTTTGGGAGCTGTTGTGCTGCCTGCTGCCTCTCTGCCTTCCAGCCTCATCAACATGAGGGTTGCCTGGCCAGGTAGCGGGAACCACGTGAGTCTTCCTATTACGCGTGGCTGACGCTGCAGCCATTCCTCCATGCACATTATTTTATTTTTTTCCTTTTTTTGGTACTGGGAATTGAACTCAGGACCTTGCATTTGACAAGCAGGTGTGGCACCAATGAGCTATATCCCCGACCCCTTATTTTTTGTTTTTGTTTTGAGACAGGGTCTCACTATCCAGTCCAGACTGGCCTTGAACTCACTATGTAGCCTAGGTCAGACTCAAACTTGTGGTGATCCTC